TGTTGTCAATGTCGAGCCGTAGCTCGAACTCAGTCATCCCAACCTTTGTGCGCTACGCATTCTTCCAAGCTTGCTTGTTCTCGTGGTGCCTCTTGCACGAAGGGTTGGCCATTCCTCTGAATGCCAATCTCAGATGCCCGCTCCTCCGAGCGACTCCTTTTCCCTACATCTCCATGCTCGTTTTCCCCCAAACGATCGCGCATGCTAACTGTCCTCAACGTAGTCCCGCTAGGTCCCCCACATTTGCACGTCAAGTGTTTCTATGAGTGCTTGTCCTGCTATGATACCATCTGTCACGGACTTAGCTGGTTTTGCCTAAGTCATGCAGCACCCTTGCGTGTCCGTCCGCAAAAGTCAACCTCCCTGAAACCTCCCATGGTCCCTTAGGACTTACAAAAGAGAAAACAGGTTAAAGAAAACGGCTCACTTGGGATCCACAAGCAAACATTTCCGAAAACACTTCATAGACAATACAAATTACAAACAGACTTTACAAGCTCTGAACGGTTGCACAACAAACGGTCAAAATGGTCCACTACAGATCGAATATCTCTCACAAGTGTTCACATGACACAACCTTTATTAACAAGCCTAAGAAGGCCACCAAACCCAACTAAAATGAGGTTGTTAAGCCTTCGACCATCCCTCTATATGTTGTGCAAAGCATGAACAAACCAAAAGACACGGACATACATAAGTATTACATTAAACATCCTATTTAGAACTTTGTCTGTGATAGCTAGGCGCTCGCCCGAGCGAAGCGAGGCACTAAAATATAAAAATATATAATATAATTAATAAATATAATTATTTAAATAAAAAAATACGCTATTAAATTAAGAAAATCATGTACAAAATCACAATGTCACATTAATAAAAAATCTCAAAAATCAAAACAATAAAATTTTACATCAAATCTATTGAGTTGCTCTGTACACTTGTCATTTATTTTGAAACCTAACAATAATTTTAAATAAATAAAAATTAATAGTATTAAAATCAAAATAATATATTATTAACTAATAAATAAAAATACTATTATTAATATACAATTAGGTATAATGAGAAGGGTGTGAGAAGACCAAGGCTGCTGAGGCAACGACAGCGGTAGCAAGCGACAGCTGGAGTGGGAGCGGGAGCGACGAGCGACGATGGCAGCGGGAGCGGTGAGCAACGATTGTGGCAGCGGCGAGCAGCGACAGCGGAGAAGAAATCTCGGTAGCAAAATCGTGAGTATTAGGGTTGGAGAAGTCGGGGAAATCGCAAGAGGGAGCATGATATCGGTGATTTAGTTGGTTCGATTGAACCAACTAAAGCACCGAAGACCAACCAGACCTAAAAATCTAGTTCGGTCGCATGTTTTAACCCTGGCGCTCGCCTAAAGCGCCCGGCGCCTCTTTGAAGCGCGTCGCATGGAAATGAAGCGAGGCGCTTGGGCCTCGCCTCACCCGAGCGCCTAGGCAAGCACCCGAGCGCCTATTGTAATCACTGATCAAGACATGATTAATGATGATTCTTAGCCATATGATGTGATAGGCATTCATGACAACTTATGAGGAGCATTATCAAAAGAAAACAAGACATGCTATCAGCAAAAACTACCATATGGTGATTCCTACAACCTAAACCACTTGATGTAGTAATTATCTATAACATAGCATTGGAAGTCGAAAAGTATATGCCAGCAATAAAACTTACTTTTACACCATTTCCAGAATCTTGGATAAGTTAATCACCGAAGAGGAAGAAGATATAAAGATCTTATATTATGTTGACAAATGTCTTATTGTTCTTAAAGGTAAGACTTACATGCACATGCATTATGAATTATTATACAAATAGGTCCTTTCATATTATCATCAGTACGTAAATTTACCATTTTTGGAAGTAAAGGTGATATCTCGCAGAAGGCCTTCATCTCCTCTCTAGAAGCAAGTGCATCGATGAATAGAACATCAGCTCCTGCATCAGCAAAAGCTCTTGATCTCTTTAGTGATTCCTCTAAAGATACCGCTTGCCGAGAATCAGTCCGTGCAACTATTACAATATCAGAGCCACTCTCCCTCCGTGCATCAATAGCTGCTTTTATGTGCATAACTGCTTCCTCTCTTGAGACCACCTTTCTTCCACGTGTATGACCACAGGCTTTTGGAGACACCTTAACATCCACATAGATTAAGAACATGAGGAGACACTATCTATACGAATCACTAACCACAAGAGACACCATCCAGATTTTCTTTAAGTAACAGAAGAAGCATCATGCGAGTAAAAGAAGATTTTCCACATTATAACTATGGAAAAAAAGAAAGAAAAGAGGGATAACTATAAAAAGAAATGAATGTGAAGTTGCAGAGCAACGTGTCTGGTGCAATTGAACTTATCACATGATTTAGTACATTTTAATTTGAATCCCTTATACTATTTTATGCAACAAAGTTGTTAATTAATCAAATTGTACTTTTTTCTCAGAGGTTCTTTAAATTGAAACTATCTGTAATCACTTAGGTGCTCTATTAAAAATTTTACCTGGTCTTCAATGATTATCCCTGCAAAACCAGCTTGAATGAAACCTTTCACTGTTCTCTTGACATTCATAGCATTTCCATATCCATTGTCACCATCTCCAATTATAGGAATCGATACCGCTTGGGTAATTTGACGTCCTTGGTCAGCCATTTCTCCATACGATATGAGACCAACATCTGGCAATCCCAGACGAGCAGCTGAAACTGAAAAACCTGAAACCCAACAACATAACAGAATGCCAAAGTTCACTGTAATATAGGTCAATGAACATTATCATTAGTGTCAACAGTAAGTAGAGATAACTTTATTGTCCATTGAGGAACTCCAAATTGGCTTAGTCAGCCAACTAATGATGATATGCAACATATGAGAACGTACCTGGTTGCAACACCATGAATCAAATACTAGTGGATGTATAATCTTGTAAATAAGTACAAGTTTGCTTTTACGACTTCATGAAAGTAAGATCAACATATAGTGCATGATAAGTTGAGAACCAGCAACAATAATAGGGCAAAAAAGATATAGATATTGTTAAGTGTTATCAACATGTGAGATATGCCATTAAATATTTGGCGAAAACTATTTCCAAACCCACGTAACAGTTTATTACTTGGTTTCATAACAATGAAAGAGAGGCATATATTGGACATGATGATACTAAAGATTGCTTCAGTATTAACCCAAACTAGACAACGTAACTAACAATGAGCTCTGAAAATACTGAGTATCGGAGCAGGACAAGAACACGAATCTACCGAAAGAGGCAATAGGGCTTGCAATTGCATTACTCACAACAACGATTGCACATGAAAAAGAAAGAAAAAGAGAATGGGTCAAGGGATTCAAAACAATATCTGATGATGAGTCCTATGACAACTACCGCTAAATACAAAAATGAGTATTTTATTCAGATAATGATGTTAAAATATAAAAGTACTACACACAAACAATATAATTTTAACTTGGATGAGTGGAACAAGAATGATAAGAGGTTTTTGATAAGTTGGAGACTGATTGGGTTTAAAATCTAGTGTAAGTGGCTCCAGAAAGTTGCAATTTACTATTAACATTAACGAAATTCAGAAAGAGAAAAAATTAAGACAAGACCTCAAAAGCAAGATGTGACTAGCTGAATCAATTACTTTGATTGTAATAAGAAGTAGTGGGTTATGAAGTAGTAGACTGTAACAAAAAGAAAAGAGATTAAGACAAGAACTAAAAGGCAAGATATGTCTAGTTGGATCAATTAGTTTGATTGGGTTATGAAGTAGTACACTATGTAATCCAGCTTACAGAACAAGATGCATGTAATAAGCTACTGAAATTTAAAAAGTAGAATCTCACATAATATCCATGTAGTCGATCCCAAATAGTTGGGACTTACCAACTTATTGTTGTTGTTGTGGTGGTGGTTGTAGTTGTAGAGTCTCACATAATTAAGTATGGGGGACGAGGCTCATGCGGTTTTTGGAGGCTAGTATAAGGTATAAGGCATTGTATCTAGTAGCATCAGTTCTGTCTTATGTGCCTACTGCACTACAGTCAATAAAAAAGGAAGAAGAAACTAGTTACAATTGAAGGAATCAAACCAACCGAAATCAAATCTCTCCTACTCTTCCACAAGTTCCTGTTATCGAGTTAAGAACATGAAAGATCGATGAGGCCCAGGAGCGAACACCTACCGCTCATGAAACACAGCGGGAATCCCGCCCTCTCAACAAGCCTGCCGCTGAGGGCGTCGAAGCAAGCGGGGCCCTGGTGGATCCCGGGAGACTCCAGGATCCTGCGGAGCGCCTCCGCCGCGGAGCCTCCGGCGGCAGCGCGAGCGGCCAATGCGCAGCGCTTTCTCGAGAGATTCCACCCGCGGCTTGGAGGCGAAGCGGAAGGGAAGAGCTGCGGCCGCCTTTGGAGCTTCGAGATCGCACATGGCGGTGGGAGAGAAGAAGAGTGGCAGCAGAAATGGGTTGAGGAAGAAAGCGAAGGGATTGGAGGAGCCTGCAACAGAAGAATGGAAGAAAGCCCCATGATCTCGATATATACTTTCGCGTGCGGTCAAGCAGTGTCGGTCAGGAAGAGGGTAAGATGATATGACGAAGCCCATCACTTTTATCACTGCTGCATAATTTTATCTTACGTATCCGTCTGTCACGTACAACTTAACCATGTAAAGTGTGCAAATGCACCTACAGAAATGAAAAGAAAAAAAAATGCTTTAAATGGAAGAAAACAAATTCTTTTCCTCAATAAGCATATATCTTTTCTAAATTAATTTTAAATTATTATATAAATAAAAATCAAATATTTCTATAAATCGTCACTTTGGTGTGGCTTAAATTTATTATGGGCCGGCCCATTCCAACGAAGGAGGAAGTAGGAATGGAAACAGGAGCAGAGTGAGTTCACACATCATCTTCGCATTGGTTACATCGCCTAGTCTTACTTGCCTTCTTCTATATACTTGGTCCTCCTGCACTTGTGGACGCGCTCCGAGGGCGACGGCGGCGGCGGCGACGATGATCCTGATCCGACACCTCCGCTGGCGCCTTCGCCCGCTGGCGGCGCTGAGTGGCCCCTCCTTCTCCACCCTCACCGCGTCTGCCTCCGCCGCCGCGGTGGAGACCGAGAGGACCATCCGAGACGGACCCAGGAACGACTGGAGCAGGGACGAGATCAAATCCATCTACGACTCCCCCATCCTCGATCTCCTCTTCCACGGTGTACGCCCTCCTCTCCCTAGACGCTTTACTGATCTCCTAAATGATTCGATTATCTGTGCCCTTTTGAAATGTGTACGTAGAACCGAACTCGTTGTACTCTCGGTTGTCATTCCAGCTGATAAAGTTGGTCCTTTGAAGTGTCTCATGTAGGTCTTGCCAAGCGTGGCGTGGAATTAATGTCAAGAGCTGAAATTGTTGTTCTGAACATGTTTAATCCTTAGCATAACATGGAAGTTGTTAGCTGTTTCAATTGAACGGTGGTTTTTAGTAAGTAGGAGTAGCAAGTAACATACAAGAGTAAGTCTCTTTTATGTCATACAAGATTGTAGCTATAGCTACCAAGGCTATTATTCATGTGTCTCAAATATTCTGGACAAGTTAGTGCTCCCTTTCTCGGGGACGGATCGGTGAGCAACGATCTATATCATGCAAGTAACAGCCTGGCTAACCAATTGATTCTTGTTTAATTGCTAGATCGGGTGCTCATTACATTATCTTAGTAAAAAATGCAAGTGTTAATTTCGACCATGGATGGTTAGTAAGAATTGCTAGATTGAGCCTAACTCCATGTCATCGAGAGCTTTGGTCTCCTCATGTTTTGTGATTCGTCTTAACTGCAAATCATATTCGGACCAAGTCTCAGCATGCAGACATGATCACAAATATCTAGTTGGTTGGGATATTGTTTTTACATTTAATTAACTGGTGGTATACTGAAGTGCATGCCATGGAAAAACTCTTCCTCGTTGGACATCCCATCACATTAAAATGAGACTAGGTGGGAAAAGGAATGGAAGAAGATATGTGATGCATATGGCTTATACATGTTCATTCACCTTTAATGGATAGTTATCCAATGAACCAGAGATACTAAGCAAGATATATGCTTTTCTAAATTTAGAAAATTATTTTATCCTATCCTGTATTCAGTGTTCTCTTTGAACATTTAGACATCTCTTTTCTCTGAGTATTTTTAATTATTAGACTCTGTTTGGCCTTGTTTCTCAAATGAATCCATCGATTCTTGCAGGCTCAAGTCCATAGGCATACCCATAAGTTTCGGGAAGTGCAGCAATGCACTCTTCTATCCATAAAAACCGGTGGATGTACTGAAGATTGTTCGTATTGTCCCCAGTCATCAAGGTATGATACTGGTTTGAAAGCCCAAAAGCTGATGAACAAGGATGCTGTCTTGGAGGCAGCAAAGAAGGTAAACTTTTTGGACATTCTGATAGCTAAAATTGATACATCAAATATATGTATTTGGTAGTAAAAAGTTCTTATGCACGTCAATTTGTTACTTAGTTTTGTGAATGCTGTGCAAAAGTATCTTGTTTGGTAATTGATAGCATCTAGTCAATGCTCTTACTAGTCATCTCCTTTATGGTTAGATTGATTAAGGAAGAAAACATGCCAAAAAAATTTCCAGTACCTTTTCTGATACAAGGCACAGTCTACATGGAATCTTGTCCTATTTTAAACATATTTTATCACAGCCATGCAAATGTGTCTTATCCCATAATGACTTTCAGTATTTGCACTGACTAGTGTATAACTGTGGGCTTCTTTGTCCTTTAAAATTTTGGATTATTTTTTTTTATTTTCTTTAGGAGTGTTAAAATTTGGGCATACTTAGATACATAAGTCAGATGTGACAGGAGAAATTTAAAGTAATCGATACCAGCTGGACTTTTATTCTGGTCCAACAGTTCATTTAAAATGACTTATATTACTAGTAACAAAATCTGTGGATTATTGCCTACTTTTAATTCTAGTGCTGTAACTTATCAAAGAAATGCTGTTCATTTGAAACCACTATTGTTCCAAAACTCATCAATCATTAAGGATCTGAATCTGACCCTTAGAACAGTTCTGATATCCAACTAACATGGCTATCTGTTCTTTTGTTTTTTAAGAATAAGGATCTAACAATGATGATGATCACAGCATTGGGAGTCTTCTCCAGAGAAATATTAGTTGTTGGCAAAGAAATTTATCCACTACTTGTGCATAGTAAAGCCACTATACTGCAATTTGACATGTATATGTATATATGATTGTCAGTTAGAAACAACAAATAATACCAAAGCGCCGAACCTTCAAGGATTTATTGAATTTGGAAAAGGACATCTAACTAGAAAGTTCTTTCTTTTGTTTTCCTTTACTGAGTGAGTTGTGAAATCCATGACATGCCAAGAATACAAAGGGATGGGGGGTTGGGTGGGAGAGGTACATGGTTTGATTATACCATTAATAGGTTTTGGAAATTGTTAAGTTGAAGCTTGTGTTACTGTTAATAGATCCTGTGAAAACATTGTAAATTTGTTGCTGTTGGTGATCTCCAAAGTTTTCATGCTGATTTGATGAACCAGATGCTCAGTATATACTGATCCAGAAATCAGTCACCCTAACATGATTATTCATCTAGCTTCAAATTTTTAGAACAAATTTTCCATGATATTCATTGTGCATTGACCTTCCATAGTGGTTAATAAGTTCTCTGCTAATTGAGTTTCCATTTTTTTTTTCTTTATGGTTGCCATCAACATGTTGAATCTGTTGGCACAACTTCAATTTCTCTTTGATATTTGCAGGCAAAAGAGGCTGGAAGCACACGTTTTTGCATGGGTGCTGCATGGAGGGATACATTTGGTAGAAAGACCAATTTTAACCAGATCCTTGAATATGTGAGTGAGATAAGGTATGTGTTACAAGACTTATACTAGATCACCTGATATATGTACTCTCCCAAAGATTCTCTTTAACCAATAGAATTCTGTATCTTTCACGATCATCGTTGCTTGCATACATTGTATATTGGCAATTCTTCATTGATTCTGATGTCTGATGCATTAATATTCGTGTTGGTGGAAAATGTACGAATTCAATATATCTCTTTCTCATGGTAATGGTGTCATTTCTATGTTTGGAATATCTTTAATAATTTGGCTAGATCTTGTTCCACATCTTTTGTTTCATCCAAAAACTTTGCACGAATAGTATGTCAAAGTAATTGATGTCTGTAGGGCCATGGGTATGGAGGTATGCTGCACCTTGGGCATGCTAGAGAAGCAGCAAGCAGAGGAGCTTAAGAAAGCAGGGCTCACAGCCTACAATCATAATCTAGATACTTCAAGAGAGTACTACCCCAACATCATAACCACAAGATCTTATGACGAAAGATTGGCAACACTTCAGCATGTCCGTGAGGCAGGAATTAGTGTATGTTCAGGTAATGCAGCATTTGTTTCCGTAGAGCAACTAATCGACAATCATCTGAACTCACCTTTGATTAACATAAAATTCAAACCAATCAATGTATTTGAGAAGCTAATATTTGCTGCAGATGTGGTTAGGAATATTACTAAATTTGGTTTTCACTATTGTAGCCATTAGTAGAAGTGATGTAAAGTTTGACTATGCCACTGAAAACTCTTATGTTCCTGCTTCCCTCAATGACTGAGTTGGAACGTTTATCTTCTCGCCAAAATGTTAAAGACATGCACCATGTTGGGGTGGTAATTTTTTATATCTCATTTCTTGCTGGTAAAATCCTATTCTTTTCTAAATAGGAGGAATTATAGGCCTTGGAGAAGGAGAGGAGGACCGTGTCGGGCTGTTGCATACCCTGGCAACCCTCCCTATGCACCCTGAGAGTGTTCCCATCAACGCTTTGGTTCCCGTTAAGGGTACACCTCTTCAAGATCAAAAGGTCGTATCTTCTTTTCGATGTATTTGGTTTTATTGGCCTCACATAATTGTGTGCAGGAAAATAATATTCTTCACTGCTTCATTATGGTGTCAGTCTGTTGCATCTCAGTGGTTATATTTGTTGTAAATAGTGACTAAAACATGCTTTGCAACTAAAACATGCTAATGCATCTCTGTAGATGTTCCTGCTTGACTTTGTGCTAATGCATTTCATGACGATCGCCATCAATTTCTACGATGCATTATGAATCTCTTTGAGCATCGCACGTCTAACCCTCCTAACCCTTGCTTTGCCTTCAGCCTGTTGAGATCTGGGAGATGATTCGGATGATCGCCACGGCTCGCATTGTGATGCCAAGGGCAATGGTGAGGCTATCCGCCGGAAGGGTTCGGTTCTCGATGCCCGAGCAAGCACTGTGCTTTTTGGCTGGCGCCAATTCCATTTTCACAGGAGAGAAATTATTGACAACCCCAAACAACGACTTTGATGCCGACCAAATGATGTTTAAAATCCTTGGCTTGACTTGCAAAGCCCCAAGCTTTCCTGAAGCAGAATCCACACTCGGGCCACAGACATGCGAGGAAGCCATCTCTAATGTAGGTTAAAACCACTGCTCTAGTTTCCATTTACCAGTGACACTGGTGATGCAATTTCTATCACCGATAAAACCATCTTGTGGTGCTGTCTTGTCATTTTTTTTTGGAAAAAATGAGTTCTGGAAATATTTAATTCCACCAGGGAGATCTGAAACTTTCTGTTCATGGACTGGCCAAATTTAGGTACATGAGAATTAGGTTGTCTTGAAAAGGTGTTGATTGCTCTTTCATATCATATCAAGAACACGAATGCAGATTGGTTGCATGTAACGATCAACAACAGCATGACAGCTTCACATCATAATTTCCAGATGTGAAGCTATGATGGGCAAATATCAACATTGAATGCAAGGAGTACAATCACAGCACAATCTACATGCTTCTGTCCGGTGTAACATTAGTTCTATGAGCATATATCACAACAATTAATGCCAGTGTCATACAGCGTTGTTATCTTAGGATACCTGTCATCCATAGATATTTGTTACACCAATCATATATCCCATGTAATCAATGTGATTGCTACATATAGTTCTTGGGACCCTCCCTAGTTCTGTGCAAATTAATGGCATCTATAAATCATGATACAAAATTTTGATTACCGAACCCTTATCAGTTTTTTTTTATCGAAGGATAAGTGATGAAACAAGTTTTAAATCACGATCTTACGAGTTTTAAATCAAGATCTTACGATAAACTGTCAATGTCTTTACCAGCTAAGCTAACTGATATTTTTAAATCATGACATAACATGACAGCTAAGATTTATATATATTGACATCGACACTATTATATTACTTAACAAGTGTTTATGTTAATATCTATTTGTGCAATTCATATGATCCGTTCTGATTCGAATCCGTATGTATAAGAAATAAATTTTTCGATATGATCGAAAGTGATTCGAATACTCTTTCGATTATTGATTTTTTTATGAAAATTGATATACAAATGATACAATCCGATTTAGTTTGAATATGCATACATAAGAAATATTATGATATGATCGAAGACGGTTCAAATACTTGTTCAACGATCGATCTATGCAAAAATGAAGTTGATCGAATGGGGTTCTCCAAACCGAATCGAGTGACAAGTAGTAGCATCTCTTTCGGTTTCATCAACCAGCATGAAAAAAGAATATTTTTTATTCATATTTACAATAATACATGAAACGTTAAGAAATACGTAGCTTCTACAGGACGGCAACTTCCAACATTAGTGTCTCGCTCTCCCTCGACACAGAGTACGATTCCTCTCTTTCCTGCCTCCGTGTGGGACTCCGACGAGGAACTCTCTCCGGCAAAAGTACAGCGGCATCCGAAGGCACAGAGGATGGATTCACTCTGTCGAAGATGGGCTCGGTGTTCGACTCCGACGGATTCGTTCCTCTCACAACCAGAAGCGGTCAAGAAAGATGCAGCCTTTGTATCAGCTGCATAACCTAATGGTACAAGCCACCGCTTGAGCCCAATACCTCAGCCTTGCTTTAACTTCATCTGGATCATCTCCTGTAACAATTAGAAGTGAAATCTGAATTCAGCAAGATTACTTCAATGGTCAAAAAGATCAGATCTTTCCAACGGAATACGAAGACACCGAGAGACGAAGGGCCCGATCGGTGGATCGTAGGGGGAAATTTTAGTTGTTCTTGCCATTGCTCAAACCAGATGAGGAATATGAAGCATCCGTAATCGAGGATTGCTCCAAATCCTACACGGAGAGGCAAAAATCGAACCTTCCGCGTATGTCTACGACGAACAGAAGGGAATCCTTCGAAAAGGAAGCGAAGAGAGGGTGCGGGAGCTATTTTTATAACCTGGGCTGGAGATCCTCCAGTTGGCTATGGGAGGAGACGGGGGCGACGGGCACAGATCCATGGACTCGCCCGAGGAGGAACGATCTAGCGATAGCTGCTGTTGTTGCTGCTCGTCCAAGAATCTCTGGCTCATCGAGTAGCAGAGCTCCAGCGCCGGGAGCGTGTTGCAGAGCTCGGGGATCTCCTCGTAGCTGAACCCGAACCCCAGGTCGAGGCACCCCTTGAGCTCCTCCAAGTCCTCATCCGTCAAGCTCTTCGTCCTAGCGACGCCACCCGACGCCAAGTCGCCGCCGTCTCCCGCGTCCACGTACCCCTCCAGCATCACCCCGCCGCTCTTCCGCGGCCACGGCTCGCGCTCCCTCCACCCCCTCCAGTGGGCATTCACCTCCTCCCGTTCTTCCTCTTCCATGGGCGCTACCATCGGCTCCTCCACCTCCATCTCCCCACTCTCTTCAGCAGCAGGGCTCGAGGGCATCGAAACAGGGGACTCCATTTCGAACGATTCGCTCCTCTCCCTCGGTGATGCGCGTCGGCTTTTAAACGCGTTCACTTATGATGATGATGATGATGATGATGATGATGGTGATGGGGAATGCATGGTCATGGGAGGCATGTGACGGGCGATACGGTTCTCCCCTCCTTTGATTGGATACGACGCTACAGCCAAGTCACTCGTTGTCCAATCACAGAACTGGTAGAGTTCGAGGTAGAAGAGAGAGGTGAAGAAATATTTCGAGGGTCTTCGATTTCGTGTTTGGGGTTGCGAGTTCGGTGATCCAACGGCATGTGGTGGGGGAAGTCGCAAGGGGTTGGCGGGTCCCAGCCACGTGGTGCGCCCAGGTGGACCACACACGTGTTGCACCGCTGTGGCCGAACTGCGCAGTGGCGTGGGATGTTTCGTCACGTAATTCGTGCTGGCGTTTCCGAGTTTTTGTCAGTGGCATGCGGTAAATTTTGATCCAACTTACTCTATATATATATATATATATATATATATATATACTTCCAAATCGTAAGAGTGAAGCACAGGTGGGGACTAAAAGGGTTCTGATGCCCCCTCCTTTTCCTGCTAATCCTGTCCTACTTCTTTCTACCAACCACAGAGGGGGAACCTTTCTTCCCATCTCCGAAGACTTGAGGTTTCCAGCAGACAAAGATTGCTCGATCATGATCCATTCGGTAGCACTGCTAACCACAGGATTTGGACATCCAGCTTTGAAGAAGCGGCTGAGAGATGTGGCTTGACCACGAAAAGAGAACATCTTTGAAGGTGGAAGAAAGGCCAGCAGAGTGCAGGGACCATACGAGACCAACAATGTGGTTTAAGGCTGGTGAAGAGATGGATGTGGGAGATGGCATCCTTTTCGTCGTCTCAACCTTCTCCGGCTACAAGCTGTCTATGGGCAAGAATCTAAAGCTGCCCGGCCGATCCTTCACAATGTTCGGAGCCAGATCAGTCGGCACACATGAACTTGTCCTCTCAACTCCAAGGGAATAAAAAATATTGACCAAGTTTTTAGTTCAAGATGAATCTTGTTACAAATAAGGATTATTTTGGTTGATGTTTTTACTGTTTTAAGTCGACTATATTGATCTTTTATCGTCATGCAACTATCAAATCACTTATACGTAATTAGTTATATATTAAGATGAGTTAAGATTCATGTTCATAAGACGTGACATTGTCAGTATGTAATTCTCGTAGCGATAAAATTATTTATTTTAACTTTAAAATTTATATATTACTTTATTTTTGAAATATTAAGAAATAGGATGCATGCTTCCTTTGAAGCATTGGTTCACCAGCTGAGATGTTGGTGTCAATCAAGTGAAATACTAAAATTTTAGTTGACATGTGAGAGGCAAGGTTTATTATGTAAATATAACATGATGATTAGCAATGAAGCAAATGATTCCTTTAATTGATGATCTTATTCCCACTTTGAAAGCATTAAAATTTTTTTTTTTATGTTCTTCATTCATGATAAATCTTATCCCAAGACAAATCTTGTGAAAACAGGATTAGATATCATGAAATAAGCTGCATGCTTTTGCACCCCCTGTTAGTATCAACCAAGTGGAATATTCAACTGTAAGTATCAATAGAGTGGAATATTAAAATTATAATTCACATGTGAGAAGCAAGTTTGATTGTGTAAATATAACCTGATAATGGCTTAACTAAGAAGCAAATAATCAATTGCCTCCTCCATTGATGATAAACAAGGACCCAAGGAGAGAAGCAATTATTGAAGTAAGTGAGTGCCCTTTGGCCTTTGGAAAGAAGCTTGATACTACCTAAGAGTGAAGCAACAAGTGATCATTGTTCCCCCAAATCATGCTCTCAATGATGCTTTAACACAGTGGAAGATAGAGATACACATATATTTGTTTTCCCTACAAGTAAATTCATTTTATAACGAAAAAAGAAATGTTATTATGTACAATATCTTTCTTCATCAGTAGATCAAGAAGTAGTACATATCAGATCTTTGGTTAATATTACATTCGATATAGTATCAGATCTGATCTGAAGTGAAGCAGCAAAAAAGGATTTTTTTTTATATTCTGATAAGGCAGATAGTTTCCCATGAACTTTTCTATTGGATGCATGGCTGTTGAACCTTTACCTCTCTTCCAAGTATCAACACACGTGGTTCTGACGAGTTCTTCTTTCGATCGACCCCATCTCCTCGATGCCATCGCAGTTGCATTCATCGATTGTTTCTCCATTATTAACCCAATCCAAGTCCACCTCATTGTTCTCCGAAAGCATCTACTTGCCATTGCACTAAGAGACTGAAGTGAGAGAAACAACAACGACAATGGAGTCATGAGGTTGCACACTTGTTGTCCTTCGCTCTTTCTTGCACTCCACCAATCTTTTCTATTGTTTTCTTCAAGGGAGTTATGCGATTTAGAATTAATCCTCGACTATCTAAGATATCCGTGATCGACTCATTCCAATAATTCCTCCTCCTTTTAAGCTATTTATAATGCTTTAAATTTGTCGCATCACGATTGGGCTATTAGATGTATGTCACGTATTCCAAGTCCTCCAAATTTAATCGGATTTAATCGAAGGTGAAACCTGCGAAATATTACCGTAACCCAACTCGTTAGATCCGGAAGATTCCACCGCTCCGCCGAACACCATGTCCTTCGTCTCATTCGCGATTGAGGCGGCGGTGGCGGCAAGCGATGTGGCCATACGACATGCATGCGCATCATGTTGCGATGACGATGCGAGGAGCACGATGGGGGCCACGCGGGCCCGGGTGTTTATGTTATAGCGGGACGAGAACTGCCCACCTACTCACGTGGCTGTTCGTCATCACCCAATAATTGCGGGACGGACCACCACATGGCACTAAATGCCAACCCCCCACCCCCAGCAATCTTAGGACGACCCTGTGGTGCTCATAATTATTATTTGGTCATATATATATATAAATATATAATTTTACCAACTTCAATTTACTTTTTCTAAAAACTGGCATTTCTTGCTAACTAAAACTCAACTCGTCCTCATACGATCCAATAGAACATGAGAATAAAGAAGATGGAAGGTGAGAACAAATGATCATCATCGTTTTGTCGAAGCATAAATCAAAAATTACACAGACATAACAGAACGGACAACTTCGCGAGTACAGAACTGTTGTGTGCGACCTTTAGATCTCAAGTGAGGACAAGACTACTGATGGATGGATCACAACGTCATATAAGGCGTTCATCAACTGGTCTATGCTCATTCTGCACAGAGAACATATTGCATAAAGAAAGGCAAAGAAGAAGAAATTTTTTTTTTTTTTGATGAATAAGCCGATGTACAAGACTAAGAAAAAAAGAGAAACTTATTGCTTAAAAATTTTTGTCGTCCTCAACAAATTTCAAAAGATGACCCAAAACCAATTGCCTACTATCTTCTCTATGTTGACTTCCTGCTGCCATCACACCTTTCATCACTCGGGTGTAGAGCCGCTCAAGCTGTGGCACTCCATAGCCTTCCGTTCGCTCGATGAGATGCTTCTTCACAGAATCAATTTGCTCAGATATGTCTGCATCGGCCTTCGTCGCATCATCAATGTTTTCATTGGCCGGTTGGCTGAAAGCTGCCTCCGATACTTCTGCTGGTCCGCGATTAGTGTGGTTTTCTGGTTGTCTCCATGGACCATTTCTATCTGGTTCTTGGAATCCTGGATGAGAGCTGACCTTTATCTGATCAGGTTCAGCAGTACCTCTCTCCTCCCTGCCTGAGCCTGGAATACAAGAAACATAGATCTTAGTGTCAACACTACACAATAAATTGTTTTGCCTTTACTTTCAAAGAAGCAGTAATTTGAGAAAAAAACAACAATTGAAAAAACTAATAGAATCCCTCATACTGGTAAAGCTAATTACAAAGTCATTTTGCTAAAACGATCACGAACAGGGAGCAGGAATAAGGCGAGCAGAGATAAAAATGCTCACAGAAACTTGGACGAATGTACTAAGATAACATCCAAATAAACAGATCAGTGACATTCATATCCCCTAATATCTCATGTGTCTGTTAGGACTCTCGTCCTTAACCATTTAACCAAATTTGCAAGCAGATATAACAGGAGTCTACTGGTCCAACTTTGGAGTAGAATTATAACAGAGACATTTTATTATTTTGGAGGATCCAGGATGCTTGATTTTCAATATCACCACCAGAAGATGCCCTTTTCTGAATGTTGATGTATCTAGCTTTCTTTGCTTTTTCTTACTTTCTGGCTGATGAGCAACTGCTTTATTCCTCCACATGCTTCCTCAAGGAGGTGTCGCATTGCACTTTGCACATACACCTGATGCGTTTGCCTCTGAATTTTGCAACTCATTTGCTACCAACAAGGGAGCTTCAGGACACGTTCATTCATAGTAGTCAAGAATGCAAATGCCCGTTTGATTTTTCTTATAACCACCATAGATCAGAAAAATCTCAATATGTTCTCATCACAAAATCAACCAAATGAAACTTAAATAAAATTCTTGTGCACCAGGGTGATCTATTATTGTTTTGTAGACTGTAAATTAAGATGTATAGTTCAATTTCTTCTAAATAATAGGTATTATGGTCACCATAAGAGGAAATGCAACCTGTAACTAAAATTAAGAACAGAGGTATCATCAAAATAAAAAAAAAATTGAAAATTAAAAGCTGATCATGATTTAGAAAGAACTTAGTAGCATATGCATGTCTTTTGGACCAACCCAAACACAAATTAGTAAAGGAAACAATAAAAGAACTATAATGATGAACAAAACAAGTTGTTATGAGGAACAAACACACAACAAAATCCATCTGATCGACAAGGACAGGAGGAATTGGTAGAGGTAAACAAGGTTGCGTGGGCATGTCAACATGCTGGATGAGGCCCACAAGCCAACATCGCATGGCACTGAAGGTAGAAGTAAAACGGGTTGCGGTGGCGGAGTTTCTTAGGGCTCATAATCTGACATAGCAGGACCTTGCAGGTAGATGTAAACTGAGCTGTGCCAGCATGATCCACATGTCAGAATGGTTCAAGGCCCATTAATTGACATAGTATGGCCCACTACGGGGCCATGCCAACACAATACAAATCAACACAACATGCCATGACCTGCTCAGTAATGTTGAATAACATTTAAAATAGATGCATGATACAAAGGTTGTCCATGGCACAGCGTAGCACAGTCCAGTCTGCAAAAAGCTAGGAACCTAAAAATTTGTTCAGGAGCAAGGACCTTCAGCTTTCATAGATAATTTAGGAAGTATGAAAAATCCTTTCCTATTCAAATTTCTTTTAGTTCGTAGTTAAGCACTGCTTTATTTTAGATAATCTTATATTTTCTAACATTTGGTGGAATAAGAATAACTTACCAAGCATTCTGTGTTAGTTATTGCTCTGGGTTTCCAAGCTGTAATATTCATGTGGATGAAAAAAAAGATTGCCAAATGAAAAGATGCTTGTATTTTTCTTCCTTCACAGCTATTTACTCTTAAACCATAATGGCACAATTACGGTTTAAATCACTGGACTGGGGATTCAAACAGAATGTTGGTAAAATTTTAATGTTAACTATGAAAACATATGCATACCTGCAAATTTTCTAGTCCTTATTCAAAAGCAGTTGTGCTACAGAAGATTTAAAAAACTTGTTAACCGGTCCTCAACCAGGAAGTGCATAATTATACTCCCAATATTCTCTAAAACCATTTCTTGTTGTTTCTTTTCCAGCTTGAGTAATGAAAAAAATGAGCTGTCAACTCATTATGATTTTTTAGGACACCCCTTCCGTCTCCACTCACTACCTCTTAATTCTAAACCATGGAAATGTCTTTAGCACCGACCTTTTTTGCCTTTAGCAGACCTATTCGCTCTCCCCCACTTTGTTTGCCTCTTGCAGATCCCTTCCTCTTCCCCTTTCCACCTTTACCTTTATCCAAGCGGAAAAAAAATGCCACTTGGGCATCCCCTTGACCCAATCATCAATTCAAAATTACAAGGATAGGCTGTGTTTAACTATGGACATGGGTAATGTGTGGGTGAACCACCAGTAGCCCTGCCTCGAGCTGGTCCAACCAACATGATGCCCAGGCCTCCTATGCCGATGACAAAATAGATTTATTAAAAAAATCAAGCATACATGAGCTCAAAGTAGATTCAGAAGAAAACAGAAGAATATCAAGTTTTAAGCTCCATAAAAACATAAAGGAGCCCTCTCGTTTTCCCAAAGTCACTTTTGATCTCAAGGGTCAGAATCCTTTTTCTGCAGTTTTATCTATACCAAAAGTTTCACCTTACAGAATCTCTTCAATCCTCAAAAGTACTTGGCGCAAGTAATGATTTGTATGTTATTAACATCTAAAATTACTTTGAAGCTTAGAGGAATCTCATCAAGCTTCCTTTGTGTAGTCTTTGTCACCCAAGATTGAACATGTAATAGTATAACACAAAATAAGTCCTTGGTGCATGATGGACAAAAATTCAGTAAAATACTTAATAATCATCATTTCCTAAAAAACATGTCCAAGAAGTGCATCAATAATAAATAACAAGATCCAGATACCTGTACGGTCGGTGTTTTTCTTTGGCAGTTTTATTGCTTCATAACTTTGTGCCAGATTTACATTTGGCTGAACATTACAAAGTCGATCACTTGTTCTAGGAACGTTAGCCAGTTGAACAACAGGTGCTGTTGGAACATTCAACGCTTCCACATCATCTGCCAACAACAATGGACCACCTTGTGCTGCAATGTTGTCACAAAATGAGACTAGAGCTGGGTCCATCTGTGACAACATACCTTGCACCTAAACATAAAACAAAAATTCAACAAGTATTGACAATATACTCGAGATGTCTGTTTATTTAGCACTATAGATACCGAGAAAAAAAGGAAAATACCACATCTCGAAGCTCATAAGCTCTGCTGACAATTCTAGCTCCATTGTAGTCATCTCCATTATATGTCTATACAAATAGTAAGCATCAGAATTATACAAATTATAAAAAGTCCACAATTGGTATTATAAGTACCATATAGAACTGCAAATATAAACCCCACAGCAAAGTTAAGAAATCAGATATAAATATTTATATAATTTTAGATCCAGACAGAACACTTGGCAGTTGGCAGAAAACAAAAGTTGAATATTTTACCTTGGCATTAGCCACAATAAGGTCAATATCTTGCAAGAATGCTGCACACGTGAGATACTGCCCACAATCGACATGCTGCAACAGAGTGGCCATATCCATGGGATTATGAACAATCGAACGATAGTCAGGCACATCCTCATCCAAGACTGGATAATGGAACACACTAAATCGCTTGTCATATAGAATCCTGCGAGCACAGAACAAATCCATTATTGCAAGACCATGTAAGTCATGTCACGGTGGTAATATACCTGTGAGGCTGCAGCACATATGGAGCCGTGTCAAGCTCATGCCCACCTACTAATGGTCATTACACAAATGGGATTGTCACGGACATGACATGAGGCCACATCTTGGTCAGTGCCTACGTGCCCCTGAACAGATATAGTTAGGTCCTTGTCTAAAAGTTCCCAATCCCAGGGAATTCCTTGGTGTATGTATTATGTAACTTAAACTGAAGTGAAAATTTATCAACGAAAAACAGTGATTTATTGTATAAATCCTTGCCTATTTGATCCCAATTGTGTGACATTCTTGGATATATGCAACTAAATTGAAGTGAAAAGTTATTGGCTAAAAATGGATACAAGTAATGCTGATTATCAAGCCAAGCCTGTACATGCTTGGTAAACCACATATTCGTTAGTTAAATTATAAGGTAGGTTCAACGCACTCTGTCACTTGAAATTGTCAAAGTAAAACCCCTCAACAGTTCTTTTTTCTATGACAGTATAATGTTTGTCCCAGTAGTCCTACACAGTCAGGAGTTGAGAGACAGACCTATTACAAACATCCCGGAGACACATCCGCAGCCGACGAAGGGCATGTTGCTCCGCCTCTGCTTTTGCCTGAAGCTCTGAAGATTTTGGACCACTCACTTCCTGAGGGGCCTTGGGGAGTTCTGGAAGAGATGTTACTTTTTTTAATTTGCTTGTTGACTCATCAACTTCAAGAGTCAAGATATCTTCAACCAATTTCTCCAAAAAGCGTGACCTGTCATCTGCAGCCGGTTTGTCCACTTGATACCTATTCAAAATAAAACTCTTCAAAAGATGACAATACATATAGAATAACTTTTCCTAACAAGAACATATGAAGCATCTTTTCTCATCTATTAAGATCAAACTCACGTAGATATTCATAAACGATAAAACAAGACAACAAATCTAGAAAACAACCATCTAAAAGATAAGGATTTTTTATTTTTTGCCAATTTTCGAGGCTTTTTTTGGTACCATGGTTCACATGAAGAGACCGTACAAGTCCAGGCATAGACCAGTATGGGTTCATACCTGAAATTCAATTTCATGGTCTCACAACAGTGTAGAGCCACCTACACCACCAACGGTAGAGGAGAACAAAGTCAATTTGTTTGTTCAAGAGTTAATTCAAAAGAGAAAGTGAGAGAGAGAAGGGGGGGGGGAGGGAGGGAGGGAGAATCTAGTTCTCAAGAAGTGTTCCAATTCATATTCTACACCTACACCAATGGCACAGGAGAACTAAGAGGAGAATAAAGACAATTTGTTGTTTAAGATTAAATGCAAAGAACAACAAGGAGATCTAGTTTTCAAGGAATGTTCATCTTCAAATGATTTTTTTTGTAATTTACAAATAACATGGTTATTTATAAGAAAAAAGCTTTGAAGAAAAGAATATTTTATAAACATAAATAGAGCTAATTAATTTGAAATAATTATGACTTGCATAAACAGTTCTCTTTTACAAGCAACTAATATTTAAATTTTCCCTATAAAATTTTCTGGCAATTTTGTTTTTAAAGAAAAAAGAATCTCAAGATCCTCAATCTTATCCATGGTCTGATCCTAAAACGGCATAAATTTTGTTATACCCTTACAATCTCGACAATATTTAAAATTTTGGGAAAAATGCCGTGCCACAAAAGTTATTCTCAAGACCATCTTAGTTGGAAAAAATCCACCCCCCTCAAAACTCATCCATTCAATGAATGTAATTCAGGCAACAATCAATGATACAAGTATCTTTTATTTTCTCACTTGTCTATGGAAAAGTGACACCTCCAAAGGCCATTATACTGGAAAACATACAAATCTTGGAGATTAACTTTAATCATTTTCATTTTAAAATATATCATAGGCTTTGCTTCTAATCAATCTGCTGTATTTAAATTGCAACATATATTGTCAACCATCTCTTTCCACTGAGGAAGTGATTGGTAATGCTCAGTTACCAATATACTGAGTCATGCAAGATAGCAAGCGCCTCATTATATAGTCAATATAGTCAGCATAAACTTATGCATTTCTCTAAATTTATTTGTTTTCAATGTAGAACCTCCTTGAGTCTTCCAGTAAAATTATCAGCAATTCAACTGACTTGTATCTTGTTGATGCACCATCAAGGCATCACCAATTTAGAATTTGCAGAATATGAAATGCAAAACTTAAATTATTATAACCTTAATCAGATATTAGCTTTTTTAGTATCTTCATAATTTCCTGCTGGAAACCCAAATTGGTTGGCCATAACTATTCATCATAGCAAAAAGTTATTGCTTGAAATCACTAATGGGAAGGGTAGTGCAAAAAGTTAGTGTTCTACTGGTAAAAGAGGATACGGTGGTGCCAGACAAGATTTATTTATTCTTTTTTTCTTCTTTCATACTTGAGGACCTAAATGCATTATCCTTCCTGATAAAGTCTTACCAAATCCACGAAACAAAAAGAAAATGCAGTATTTTAATATAAAGATTAGAAAGCATACACATTACAGAGAGCAAAGATGGAAGTGGAGTCTTCATCCATTTTGCTCAAGGACACTGAAGATGTTCCTATCAGTAAAATTGGAAGATTGGAAGACAATTCCTCTAAAAGACTCATCAAAACAGCCTTAAGCTGTTCATGTGCCTGCAGAAGTAAAAAACCATATAATTATCCATCTTAATTCTATTTGCAACCAGCAAAACTCATCTTGGTAGAACTATATTATGGATTTGTGTACTCACTGTCTCCCACCAAATATGGAACTGAGGTAAGTAGAGTATAGAAGGAGTAGTTCTTCTTGCTTCACCAAATATATGCACCAAAGCCTCTTCTGGTGTCTTTGCACTAGGATCAGATAGAAGAGATGGAAGTCCAAGAGAGTGAACAGGAAACTTCTCCATTTCATGTAGGACAGCAGGCCCAACATGGTCCTGTCAAGCTAAAACTGCTTTATCAACAGCATCCAACATAACATATAATGTCAAAATATTAAAGTTCTTAAGATTTATACCAATCCAGCACTTGCATCCCCATATATCAGAAGGCGAGGCCTATAAACAAGAGGAAGTGCAGAGCCAAAGGAAAGAACAGATAGCCTGCTGACATCTACAGCTGGAAGGCAAGGAAAAATATCAGATACATGTTTCATTATTCTTTGGAGATGTCTTTCCAAACATGGAGCAACAATTGAAGACAAAGGCCTGGAGTGCACAATAGATCCCCTATGAGCAGCAGGAGTAATCGTAGACATGGCTTCTAAGAAGTGATGTTTTTCAACCTTTATGGAATCAACATCAATCACAAACTTGTCATCACTAGTATACACTTGGGGGTACTTCTCACGAAAAGCACGGATAGCAGCTTCTGTGCATAAAGATTTCAGATCTGCTCCACAATATCCCACACAACTAGCTGCAAGTTCCATCTTTAGCTCTTTTGATGGAGGTTCCTTCCACTTTCGTGTGTGAATCTTCAATATTTCAGCACGTGCCTCGTAACCAGGCAAAGGAAAAACAAATTCCCGGTCAAAACGCCCTGGGCGGCGCAACGCTCCATCAATGGCATCAATTCTGTTGGTTGCACCTATCAGGACAACCTGTCCACGAGAATCAAGTCCATCCATCAAAGCAAGTAATGTTGAAACAATAGAATTGTGAATCTGCTCTTGTTTGCTGGATCTAACTGGAGCAAGGCCATCTATCTCATCAAAAAAAATAATTGAGGGCTGATTCCTTTGAGCTTCTTCGAAAAGCAGTTTCAGCTGTCTTTCTGCCTCTCCAACCCATTTGCTGAGAACATCAGCTCCCTTACGCATGTAAAAGCTAACCTTCTGACCAGCCTTTGAAGCAGCACATGCTAATGCCCTAGCTATTAATGTTTTTCCGGTGCCAGGAGGACCACAAAGCAGAACTCCTCTCGGGGGAGCTATGTGATATTTGGCAAAGAAATCAGGATACAGTAATGGAAAGAATACCATTTCCTTTAATGCATCAATGTACTCTGATAGACCCCCTATGTCTTCAAAACTCACACTTTCATCAACTTGTAATGGCTGAATGTCTGCCCCTCCCTTTGAACTTGGCCCAGCTGTTTGAATACCCGAAGTTAGATAAGTAATATTGTCACCCTGATAGACCCAACCAGATGCAGCAACATTTAGTCCCCAGGCTGTTGCACCGTGCATGTCTAGACCACCCAAGAGCCATGGTGTCCCACTTCTGCTTCCGTTGCGTGTCCAAGGAATAGAGGGACCTTGGTCCATTTCGTCCACAAGAAGGGAATCGTCAGAATCATCAGGCAATGAAAGCCGATGACGTCTATGTACTCGAGATCCACCTTTTCTTAGATACCTATTGCTTTTGGAGCCCATACCATGATGAAGTACTCTACGTGGGGATCGGGGCCTCTCTTTTCCCTCCTTCTCACTAGATAATCTATGATTCTCAGAACGTTTCCGCAAGTCATATCGTCTCCTTCCTTCCTGCTCTTCCTCACCATCTTCATCATCCCCATCTCCTGCTACTTCATCTCCCCCATCACCATCCTCTTCATTTCCAGCATCCTCCTCTGTGTCATTTCCATTTTCCGTTTCATCCTCGGCAGCCTGGTCTTCAGAGCTATCCTGGTCTTCTTCTGATTCTTCATAAGGTTGTGCTCTTCTCCGACTCAACAGTCTTCTAGGTCGTAAACCCTCACGGCGGGGAAGGGAATTAGTCTTTGTAATCTTTTTGTTCCTTGGAGAGGTTGATGCTTCATCATGGCTAGCATTGTTCTCTGCCTTGTTTTTTGAAGAACGATACCTGGGAGCCTGAAAAACAAATCAGCGCCAAGGTACGAATAGATCACTAACCATGTTAAACACTGAATTTGATCAAGACTATGTGCATCGGCAGGTTTAGAATCTTACCATTAAATCGTCATCTTCTGTTCCTGAAGTGTCTGTTTCATAGTCTTCCAGGTTTATTGAAATCTTTCTTTTTCTTGTAGAGCGCCGTAAGTTTGCTGCAATAGACTACACAAAAGAATAAGCAGATAATCTGAGTCAGGAAGATGCTAGATTAGCAAAACAGAAAGAATTCTGGAAAGAATAACATGTTAGTGTATGGATCACCTAATGTTTTAGACAAGTAATTATAAATAGTTGGCACAATCAAGGTTTAAACCAGTCTAGTAATGGTTAAATAACCTATCAGATTAACATGAAACTCATATACCAGATGGTGTACCAACCATCCAGTATCATTTATAAAATAATAAAAATTATAATTGAATGGTATAAGTACCAATATTGATTATACATATAAATACAAGTACTTGGTCAAACAACAAACAGCAGTTAGTACATCTGGTCTGATTGGTACTTAGAAAACCTTGGATAAAACAAAGTTGGTAAGGATCTTACAAGAGCAACATGAGTCGCATATTTGCTAGATTTTTTTTGAAAAAGAATGGTGCAGTCACAAGATACCTAGTCACTATTTTTTTCCCCACCTAATCACAATCAATACCATCAGAGTGAACAAATCAACAAATTCCCATCATTTGATGTATGGCAGAGGTAGTTTTGACTATTCAATCAACAAGGAAGACTAAAAGGAAACTTGAAAATATTCCTCTGCGCAATTTCTAATGAAAATAACTAAAAAAATGAAGTCTTTACCTCTTAGGTCCTAAATCAACAAGTCTTTGGAGGTCTTTTTTTACCCCTCCTTCACCACTAATATTAATTAACTCATTTCATCTAACAATAATATCTACAGATCTCCTTAGAATATGTCTATACCATCCTTGATGATTCTCCCAAGAATTACGACTAATTATTCACAAATGAGAATACTCTTTTTCTATCTGTCCTAGTAAATCTGTCTATTCATCTCACTAGGCTCATCTTAATGACAAACTTTCTGTACACGTTGCTTTTTCACTGCTTAATAATCATAACCACAAAACAAGGATGGCTTAACAACTATATCATAAAATTTCCTTTTAATCTAAAGAGCACCGACGATTACAAAAAACTTTGGACACCCCTTTCCACTTTAACCACCCAGCTTTTACCATATAAACAATATCTTCATCAATCCTGATTACATTGAATGAACCAAAATACTTAAAAAAATTAAGATTAAATTGCAACATCACATGGTTGTCAATGGCCTCATACAACCCTTCACCTTCTTTATCCAGGCTTGTGATCGACAATGGCAAAATGTTCGTAAGCAAAACCTTCTTTAAGTTTTCATGGGCATCATTTTCCTATTTTTGTAGTTTGACACAACACTAAATGTTGCCACTGATTGATGATTCAAGGACCTCAAACTGAAGAACTTAAAAATTAATAATAAAAACAGCAATGAAATCAAGGAAACTACAGGAGCAAGCAATAAGAAGCAACCCAAACAATTACGCAAATAGATAGATGTTTATAATATAAAAAGTCGACCATAGAGAACAGAGCATTCCAATATCATGTTTACCTAGAGTGAGAATTCGGCTATAACACAATGTATCTATCCACTAAAAAGAGGAAGAACCCATATTGCACATGATTTGATTAAAGAATCTGGTGGAGAAAGAGTTCAAGCGGAAGACAATTTACCCATCAGCCAAAGAGAGTCAGAACCACATTGCACATGCTTTAAGAGAAGAGATTAGTGAAACCTAGAAACAACAAAAACCTCAAGACTGGGGAGAATAGGAGTTTAATACAATGTATTGGGGTCTATCATTGATACCTCCCTAATGGATAAGCAAATGGGCATAGACAGATGCACTCAGTTTCCAACAAGGAGGAAACTAGGTGTCTAAAAGAAGGAAAGTTGCTCTAAATTATCTAAATGTTAAGTGTTGAAACAAATATACTCATGCATCGAGAAAATCAACTAGGCAATTAAGTTCAGAAGAGTACCAACCAGAATCTTGCTATTGTTGGTAATTTGATACGGTGCTTGAGATAATTCAAAAAATTTCAGCAAAGCAAGAGTTGTAATTGTTTGAGACCTTTGATTCAGTTTTATGTTCTACATTGGTTACTGTGAACTGGCAACCACAACAAAGTCTTAAGCAATCAGATTTAAAGCATCAAAATACGACCATCTATCATACAGTTATCATGTTGCCTTTCCTAAAACCTGTTTTGAAAGAATCATCAATAAAGAAATTACAGGAGTTAAATAATATTTAAACTTTAAAGGAACCTTGACTTCCATAAATAAAAAAAAAAGACTCAAAAGAGATCTTCTTTTGAAATATTGTATATTAAAGATGCAGGATCTGTATTCTGCCACTTCCCTGTTGTTGGCTTCACAGTCCAAACTCTGTATCTATGGGCTATATCATATGATTAGTAAAAGCATTGTTGTAAGCCTTAGAAATATTGGGAAAGTGGTTATACAAGTTTGTCTTCCCTTCATAATTATGCATGCAGTGTATCATTAAAATAGTTACTGCTCAGAGTCTAAATCAGTCGCAAAATTCCACAAAAATACAAGCAATTACATATCCTTTTTCCAAGATATTACATGAATATCAACCATCATCCTCCTAATAAATCTTAAGACAAAAAAAAAACCTATATGTTTTAGTTGGGCCGGGGGGAGAAACTCCGCCTTTTTTTGGTTTTACGTGTCAATTAGCACGACTTGCATATTATTTTTCAGCTGAGTCAGCAATCAAATCACATGCAAATAATGTAAATTACAGGCATGTTCCTGCACTCACCGGTTCTATAATATGAGCATTCTCACTCCTTAAAGATTTGCAATATGTTCTTGCATTAGACATTTCTGATCATTATCCATTGCATACAGGTAACGTACCACTACAAGGAAGGAAATACATGGTTTCAAGTTTCAACTACTACATTTTCAAATCCTGTTGGATACTCAAAGTGTTTGTGTGTCATGAAACCAACACTTTCTATCTGCAGTTTCACAAAAACAACCATTGACACTGAAGCGGTGACTGGTTTCCATTAAAAATATGACTTCATAACGTGTAAGATTCTATGTGTCAATAACATAATACACAAATCCAGTGCTGAAGCTCTTACATCCGGAGGGGGCATCTGAACAGGGTGGTTCCTCGGCCTAAGCAGCTTCTTTGCAATCTGGGAAGCTGCAGTCCTCTTCTTGGATTTGATCTTCTTCCTTATCACAGGCTTATAGTACAAGAAAGGCCGGCCGAAGTACTTTGGTCGTTGCCGGAGCCGGTCGCTGGTCCGCAGCGGCGTGATCGCAGCCGCATCTCCTTTCGAATCCATAACCCGTTGCCACCTCTGCTATCGAGCCAGCATTATCCGTCACACAACGATTAATCAAAACCAAGACAGAACCCAAAAAGGGGGCGCATTTCCAAACCCTAGCATCAAGAAAACCAGCCCGGGATCAAAAGATAACCCATTAAACGACGATCCGCACAAGGCAATCATAGCCCACAGCTTTTGTCGGTTTCGACGATCAAAGTATGCATTGGCCAGTTTCGAATTCGAAAACGAAAGCAGACAGCAAAAAACGCTTCAAGAAGGGGTCGAATCGGAACCCTAACCTCAGGAGCCCACCACTGGAGACGAGGGATCGACCAAGACAGGAAATGAGGCGGAAGAGGGTCGGCGAAAGAGAGGTCGCAACAGGAAGCGGGGGAGAGGAAGAGCGCTCTGCTCGCGGGACAGGGGAAGACGAGCGATCCCTACCCACCGGGGAACAAAACCCTTAAATAGCACGTGCGAGCCGCGTGAGGAGCGGTGAAATTACCGGATAGGGCTTTCCGGTCGCCGTCGTTTCCTCGGGCCGCGTTTCGGTTCGCGGAAAGACCTAGTCGGTGATCCGATGCGAGATCCTGGCCGTCGGATCACGATCGAACAGTCCGTATCGCGTTCGGAGCTGTGAATGAAGGGGTGATCCTAAGCTAAATCGTTCGGTATGTCAGGGACCGTGATCGTCTCCCCGTTTCGACCGTTGTGACGGTTATGTGGATTTCTTAGCTTTATCCCAACCATGAATTGAACAGTTGGCTGTCTCGCGAGCAAATCATGCAAGATTTTAATTTAAGTAGGGCCCACTCTAGTGTGTATCATTTATATGCAATGGACCAATCGATTGAATTCGAACAATCGAAATCTCACTAATTAAACAATAAAAAGTTTTCAGAGAGCTAAAGTACTCTCCTACCGTAGTTACTGTTACTTATCCTATTTTTATAATATTATTATTATAACAAATTCTATACATCGAATATTCTGAGTTAATCTTATCGAAACATCTAAACTTATCATAAATTTGATATCAGGAGATGAAATTTTTTTATAGAATATTTTATAAAAATTATGTCATGCACATGTATCGTAAATTCTTATCTAATACTTAAGTTGATATATTAGTTGAAACATTCACAAAGCATAAATATTTTATAAGATGGGTACACGATAAAAGAGTTTAAAAGAATGCACTTGGGACCCTTTTGTAACGACCTCCCAACATTGTTTGTTGAAGTTCAACGAAGAGTTATTTTCTAAAATTAGTTATGTGCAATCATCAGTCTTAACAAAAACAACAAAGGAAAAGAATCTCATCCATAGATATGTCAAGGAGAAATAATGAGAGAAGGCTCTTAAAAGCTAATATTATATTTTTTTTCAAAAAATTACATTACTAAATCAAACGAGAGAAGATTCAAAATATTCACCTCTCACAGCAGAGAAGATTCAAAATATTATCGAGATAGATCATGTTTGAATTATACCTTTCTGATGAGGGTAAAAAATGGTGACAAGACCCGCGCAGACGTCAGCTGTCTCAGACGACGCCTCACACCTCAACCTACCCAGCGGAACTTAGTCAAACGAACCAGAACGCAGACCGAGGCCCATTAACGATCTGTTCAGACTCGATCCTTCACGTCACGGCAACACCAGTGTTAGACGCAACCCGCTCCCTGCAAGCAGTCGCATCAGACACGGTAAATCACCCTATAAAAACCCTGCCCCTGAGAGGGGCGGAGGGAGAGAAAAAATAGACACAAAAACACACCACTCCGCATCACTAACTTGATCGTCGGAGGGGTCGGGCCGAGCCCCCCGACCCGACCTGTGTGCAGGTGAGAAGACGAGGTTAGCACCCTCGGGAGGCAGAGTAAAGGAGGCCTCCTCTACGGAACACCCCGATCAACCTTGACGCGACCTGATCTGCGTCGCCCACCACTTCAGTGACGATGAGATCCCCGCCATTCGGACCCGACACAAGCCACGTCGACTCCAAGGCCACGGCACAAAGTTGTTTACACTAACATTTTCTATTACCCAATGTTTATCCTCCTTAAAATACATTATATTCTATTTCTAATTGGTATTTTAAAAAACATGTCATTTTTTTCGTTTTCTCACCTTTTTATGCACAAGTTACTTTTTTTCACTTATCTAAATTCACTCCCATCATTTGCCACGTGGATGAAATCATACAAATTCCTAAATTACTGCTTGGCTTCATACCGATTTATATTCACATATGTTATTTATATATTTATATGTTCATTTTTATTCATATGTAAGTTAGTATTTAATTAAAAATAATATTTTTTAACTTAAAAATATTAGTATTTAATTTAGTATGTGACTCCATACTAGTTGAGTCGGCAATATCAAAAGTCTAAGATCCTGACTTCAAAAATTAATAGTTATATTTTAAAATGAATAAAGGGATAAATGTGAGAATTTGATGAATGAAAAATAAATAAATTTATATAATATTCACTATATTTTTTTCACACGCTTTATATATAGGGACTATGAGACATGCATGTATCTTGCGATTCATGCACCTCATAATGATATATTAATCCTTTCTCGGTGTTAGCCAACCAAAATCCAAGTAACGTTGGGTGTCTCCCCATAGTAATATGTTTCCACGAGGTATACCCGTGGGTAGCCAGCAAAATAAAAATCATTGCTTATCGCGCGTCCGCCGAAATCGGTGGGACCGACACTTCTCGCTTCCCGCAAGTCTTAAAGAAACGAGCGGATCTGGGCGCACATCACCGACACGTGGCGGTGGCTCGTCCTTTGATGTCTTGTCCTAAACCGGACCGATGTAGCTGGAAACCACATAAAAGGAAACTAGTCTTTTCTTGTGTGGGTCCGGCTATGGGACCCTGACTTCCTCCGGTAGATAGACATTAGGGAGGCCGGAAGGTCAGAACGTAGAGGATAAATAGTCATTACTTCGTCGCGGTTGTCTTCATCCCGACGGCTTCGACTTCCGCCTCATGCGTTAATGGCCATTTACTTCCACTGCTCCTTCCCTCACCATTTTATACGCTACAGGTAGTGCATTCAGAATTGTCTCTTCCACCTGAAGCCACACCAAATCTTACCGGGATGGGCACAGCGAACGGAGACTCTGCCGCTGGTCTCGTCGTGAGCTTCGGCGAGATGCTGATCGACTTCGTGCCCACCGTGTCCGGAGTGTCGCTGGCGGAGGCGCCCGGGTTCCTGAAGGCACCCGGCGGCTCTCCCGCCAACGTGGCCATAGCCGTGGCGCGGCTCGGTGGGCTCTGCGCCTTCGTCGGCAAGCTCGGCGACGACGAGTTCGGCCGCATGCTGGCCGCCATCCTGCGGGAGAACGGCGTCGACGACTCCGGCGTCACGTTCGACACCGGCGCACGCACCGCGCTGGCGTTCGTCACCCTCCGCGCCGACGGTGAGCGCGAGTTCATGTTCTACCGCAACCCCAGCGCTGACATGCTGCTCACAGAGGCCGAGCTCAACCTCGATCTCATCGGAAAGGTGTTTTACCTCTTCTCTCTTCTTTCTGTAAGATTTGGTCTGTAATTTCTCCTTACCATCTCGTTTGATCGATCCAATAACTGTAACTGATTCGTACCTATGGATGGATCTGCAGGCTGCAGTCTTTCACTACGGATCTATAAGTCTGATCACGGAGCCCTGCAGGTCAGCTCACTTGAAGGCCATGGAGGTAGCCAAGGAAACAGGGGCGCTGCTCTCCTACGATCCCAACCTCCGGCTGCCTCTGTGGCCGTCGGCGGCGGAGGCCAGGAAGCAAATCTTGAGCATCTGGGACCAGGCCGACATCATCAAGGTCAGCGACGTCGAGCTAGAGTTCCTGACCGGCCAAGACTCGGTGGAAGATGAAGTGGCCATGCAACTCTGGCGCCCAACCCTCAAGCTCCTCTTGGTCACCCTCGGCGAGAAGGGATGCAAGTACTACACCGAGGTATCTCGATCTCCGCCTCTTTGCCATGCTCGTCAAACAAGCGAGATCTGAAGGTTACTGCACCGATCTCTCTTGCTTGTCAGGATTTCCACGGAATCGTCGAATCCTTCGCCGTCAAGCAGATCGACACGACCGGGGCAGGCGACGCGTTTGTCGGCGCACTGCTGAGGAGGATCGTCCATGACCAGTCTGTTCTGCAGGTTAGAAATACGAGAAACTTCGTGCTTCAGCGCAGCTTTACGAATGCTTACGAATAGGGTAATGGGTTGCATTCAGGACGAGAAGAGGCTGAGGGAGCTGCTGCGATTTGCTAATGCATGTGGAGCAATCACCACCACCAAGAAGGGAGCGATCCCGTCGTTGCCGAATGCGTCGGAGGCCATGCAACTCCTCGAAAGCGCATCAGACATGCTTGCTTAGATTTCCTTGTTCCACTTCCCTTTAATAAGGACTGTCGCAACTTGATTAGAATCTAAGTTGTCCTTCATGTGGTGTTTCTTCTAATGTTGATGCGCCATTTTGTTCTTCCGTCCACCCGATCCTTTTTCTCGAGTGCCATCAGGATCATACCATGGATCATGCTTCATTAAGACGAAGGGTGTCTACATCACTAAGGATGGAATAATTAAGAAATTGAATTTGGTATTCAACACACCGTAATGTTGACCAGTTTAATTGACTCATCGTAGAATGACAGCACCTTCTATATATTACACTTACATAGGATTTGACTAAAACAAGTAATCGGATCGGATTGTGATTGGATGAATGGGTTATCGAGTCTATTGAAGCCATATAGTGATATGGTCCGTCCAACTGTCTATCAATTAGCAAATTGTACAGCGTCGAAAACAGGGAGCTACTCGTGTCCCCTTTCGGGTTAGCGGGTTAATCGCTGGTCAAATCCACCAAAGGAATCCGTCAAGGGATCCTTGTTATTGAGCGGGCTAGCGAGTGTGTCCACGTTATCGGATCGGTTTGGATTCGTTGAGCGGGCTATTGAATTCGCTGATGCAAACATCGAGTCGACACGTTTCACCCGGTGCATTAGAGCACTGATGCTACATTCGATACGAACGGTGGAGATGAGAAGGTCTTCACCGGTAACCGAGGTCTTCAGTACGAGAGACGGCGATTGGAGTAACAGCCTCGTCGGTCGATCGATTGGAATCCCTCGAGATGGTACACCTTTTTGTTCTTCTCTTTTCCTATCGTAATTCTTCGGATTCTGTGAGGATTTAGGTCGATTGTTTACTTGATGCATCTCTCTTTATAGTTTCTTGTCTCCTTTGTTGTTTAATCCTCGGTTTGATACGACGCCTCTGGATCGAAGTTTCTTGGCGCCTTTCGTTGCTTAAGTGCTTCCTTCTTCGTGGTTTCAAGACTTTTATGACAATCCGGCTCGTCAATTGTGTGGTCGCGTTATGATAAGGTTTTAAGTTGCTAAGTTTCGCTTTGATTTTAAGTTTTCTTTCCTTCCTTCTTTGGAATAGTTTTACTTCGATAAGATAATTTAGCACTTTATTCCTTAAATTTCCTCCCTTAAATCTTAATATTTCGTAAATATCTTAAATAGCACTTATGAAAAGGAAAGCAAAGAGGAAGATAAATACAGACTGCTGGGAAAGCAATTAGCAATAGATGCCTCGTTCGAGCCAGTGATGGCAGGAAGACCATCTCTGCTATGGTAACCTGTCAACTAATTAGTTTTATTGTCCTAACTTCAGAACAACTTATCAAACATGTGCTGCAAAATTTTCGATCATAATTAATTAGCTATAGTTAAAAGACAATATGCTTGTTGAGCATCTGAAATTTATCAATTCTTCATGTCAATGTGATGCCATAAAAGGTTAGATTATTTACTGAACATAATAGCTTTCAATTTTTTCTAAACATTTTCTTTTGTCTCTTCCGTTCCAATGCGAATATTAGTCCTTTTAGAGTTCTGAAACACATTCCATAGGCTGCATTTAGCTTTAGGAATTTGAAAAGGCACGAGACAAATAAATCTGGTATGGTTGTCATACGATGTTATAACACTGTTGTTTGATTAGTTATCATTATGTGTACATTTTGTAATAATTGTTATTTTTGTCCCCTCTAGTGAGTTTGCTTCTAACAATTATGGTTTTTATGCAACGAGCAATAGGAAGGTTGTTGGATTCTGCATTCTTGCATTTGATTGAGATTTATTACCATGTCGATGTGCTCAATACTCATTAAATTTCAGCAATATGAAAAAAGTTCATGAAATTAAAAAATAAGCCACCGTTCTATATCAATTTTTTTATGTGCAAGTATTTAATTGCAACCGACGACCTAGTTTTGGTGAGGTATGACTATGTCGAAAGTTGTACCCATGATCTCAGAGTTGCTAATGACCTGGAAGTAACTCAAAGCTGCTGGTTTGGTTCACAGAATATGATTGTTTGGAAGGTAATATTGATGGTTAGGCAATCATATTGTTTCTTTTTTAACTTCTGTGCGTTTTCCTGAACTTTTACTTTATTCTTGCTTCCTGAGCATTAGTTTTCAAGCTGAGTGTACATTATTGGTTGTATTGTGACCATAATATCATGCAACTCTTGAACTTAGAATGGAGCAACATGCAAGGATGTAAGAGATAGACTATGTACCATTAAATCATAAAAAATCATGAGTACTTTTTTGGAATCTTGTTTGTTTTGTTATGATTCGGTCAATCACTCGCTGGATTTTTTAGGCATAGAGATTTTATGGATTTTCATTGGATCAATATCAAACCTTCAACAGTTTAAATGTGTGTGCATTTCACTATACTCTGATATTGTGTTGTTTGTTATCCTTCAGTCGACCATTTGCTGGATTTGGTATTGTGGATTTTCACTGGATCAATACCAAACCTTGAACAGTTTAGATGCTTGTACATTTCACTTTACTTTCTGGATGAGAATTAATTCAATAGAAAGCTAATTTGGCCCTTCCAAGAAAGAAGTATTGGATGACAGAAGTGAATTGTAGGGACCTAGCAGTTGCTCTTGAATGCAATTGTTAATTGGCTATGGAAATAGATGACTTGTCAGTTCTCTTTAAGGATCATTAAAAATTTCAAACTTGTATGTGGATGTCCTTGAAGCTCACGTAAGTGTTTTGAAGATCAGGGAGTGGAAGGATAAGAAGAAGACTGCTGATCTCAAGAAGAAACAAGCTTCATTTAAGAAAAACTCACAATGAGTCAAATTTGTGATGCTTTTGTTCTATGGGCTTTGTGTGATTGAGCAACCTATATAATGAGCCAAAATTGACTATCTTGTCATATTCAAGTTAATTTTCTGCTGCTGTGTTTCATGACAGTGAGGCAATGCGTGAATATTGGAAATAGTGTGACACATTGTCGTACCGCTGATGCTGTCATGCAATAGTCATGCAATATGGTGATGTATGGATATTGCATGACAGTGAGGCAATGTAAGAATTAACTTGAAAGTATCAATTCATTGCTGATGCTGTTAGTTGTTAAATGTGGCTAAAAGGCTAACTTTTTGGGATGTTCAATGGCATTGGTTTTGCTTAAACGATAATTTCCATGGTGCTGCCTTAATATGAATGAATTAGCAACCAGCTTTATTCTCATTCCAACTATGGAGACTTGAGAGGTTAAGTTGAAAATATTGTTATTATGATTACGCTTCATGATTGCAGTTGGGTTTCGCTTCTCTTCGAGACAACAACAGGTTGTGGTTATCTAAACTAATGCCTTTATTCTATGGTCCATGGATACAAAAAGATTGTAAGCTCAATTAGGTCCACATGACAATTGGTATATTGAAGCTTTTTGCCGAGGAACTCTCCATCATAACCATGGAGAGAATGGATAAAATTGAGAAAATTTTCAAAATTATGAGACCTTAGACTGAAGCTGCATTTTCCATGAGCCTAGCAATTTTTCTGATCATTGTGCATATTGTAATAAGGTAGAATATGTGTAGTTCATCTAGAGATGCTCAATTAGCACTTTTTTTCTTGTGACAGGAACCACAAGCACTTGGTCAGTTGAATTTGTTTTGCAAGAGAGGGACTGCTGTCATGCCTGCTGAACAGCATTCGGCTTCCCTGCTAGGCGAATTGATTGGACGTTCTTGTATGTTTTATACTCATTAAACATTTTATTTCATTGGTCTCCATTGTTTTTTTTTGTTTTTGTTTTTTCTGCTTTTGAACCCAAAAGCTGGGTTCGGAGAGAATGACAGTGCTTGTGTCTATTGAAGCTTTTGTGCAAAATCAAATTCACTTCGTTGAATTGCAAATGTTGAGCTATAAGCGTGCAAATTGCAGACCTGTAACAGGTTAGATGTTGTTTGACTACTACTCAGAATATAGCTAAAGCAGCATGTCATGACAAAGTAATTGATATTTAGAATCATGGTTCTTAGATTAGTCATCATTGAATTGCTGCGTGAATATTTCATGTGGAAGAAGGAAAATAACATGACAATTCCCTTTAAATTGATCTGTCAGCAAACAAACTTGAGATGCCCTTATACATCTTCTCTAGATGGAACAAAAGAAGAAAATTATATCAAAGAATCAATAGTAAAAATTGGATGCCTTTTTCTTTACTACTTTTCCTCTGTGTTTTATACAGGAACAGGATGCTGCAGTCTGCCGTTCCCCCTCGGCCACCGCTAGTGGCCGGGGCCCTTCGGGCTGGAGCCGGACGGCAACCTCGCCATCCACGTCGCCAGCGCTGCCCTCGCCTTCTCGTACATGCCGCCCGTGTACGCCAGATAGTTCGCGCCGTCGAAGCCACCCGGCGCAGGCCTCGCTGCATCAGCTCTCTCGATGCTCGATATGGCGGCGATGGAGACGACGATGACGACCCAGATGACGCAAGACCTTAGAGAAGCCATGGCAGGGTGTTTCGATGGAGGGCTCGATACCGGAGGATGGCTCTTCCTTATACTGTAAACCCCGGCAGGAAAAGCTTGCTTTAGTCGATGGTGGTGGCACGAGCTCGGGAATATATATAAGAGGGCGAGGTAGGTGACGGTGGTTTTCGTGTTGACTAAAAGGGGTTTGAAATGGTCAAAAGTGAGAAAAGGAGGACGAGTTTGACTTTTGTCTGTCTCGTGTTCCGAAGGTATCAGAGCTGAGAGCTGGCCAAGTCTTGGACGGTGGCAGCTGTGTGATAATTTGGACTCGGAGTTGTTGACCTTCAGCCACTGGTCTTTGAAATGTAATGTTGTCTGGGATCAGAGCGGCTATTTGGGGTGCTTTCCCGGCACCTGCTACGGAGACTTAGAATAGAGATTAAATGCCTATTTGTCAAAGACATTAGAAAGCAAATAAAAGAAACAAGCATTTCTAAACGGTAATTAACGCTAATAATTATTGATTAAAAGGGAAATTTGTAAAAAAAGACACCTCTAACGGATTTTTTAAACGGATCGAGTCAAATTTTTTGGATCTATATCTCCGATCAGTTTGAGCGGGTCGGTTTTGGATCATATGCGGGCTATCGGGTCCGTCAACACCCCTGGTTATATTTGATCCATCGACAGATCCGGATCCGACCACAAGCTAAACATTGCCTCTTCCTCGGCTTTGCTTCTTGCCGACGATACCCGCGTTCTTCCCTTGCTATTAGACACTTAAGTCGCAACGGGCCCTACTTGTAACTCTATACTTAAGGAGTCCTAAACGGTCATCAGACAAGGGCCTTCAAAACCCTAATCGTCACCCGCTTCGCGATCCTCCATCGACGTCTCACATGGCGGAAGAGCCGAAGAATGGTGACGCCGTCGGAAGCGGAGTCGGTGGTCGGGAGGCCGAGGAGGAGCAGGTGGTGAACCCGTGGGAGGTGACGGCGAAGGACGGGGGGAAGATCGACTACGACAAGTTGATCGAGAAGTTCGGGTGCCAGCGACTCGAGGAACCGCTCGTACGGCGCGTCGAGCGGCTCACCGGACGCCCCGCGCACGTCTTTCTCCGCCGCGGCGTGTTCTTCGCCCACAGGTCCGGCTTTTTTTTTCGCTCTCCTTATTTCTGGTTCCTTTCGGTCTTTCGGTGCTGTTCTTGAAGTCATGCTTGTTATTGGTTGGTTCTGGGCAGGGACTTCAATGAGATACTTGATGTCTATGAGAGGGGCGAGAAGTTCTACCTCTACACGGGCAGAGGGCCTTCCTCTGAGGCGTTACATTTTGGGCATTTGGTGCCCTTCATGTTCACTAAGTAGGTGTCACTGTCTGTAAGTTACTCTTCCTAAATACATTTCTATGTTCATCATGAAATTTGTTAGCTTATGTTAGTAAAAGCGTTTCAATGTTTATCAAATATAGAATAATACTTGTTCCACTTGCTTGAGGTTCTAGCTATTTTTATTTTCTTCCATATGGTGTTAAGGTGGTACGTGTCAATACTTTGATTTTTCTAGTATATTCTGGATGTTTCTTGCTCCTGAGGGTTTTGAAAATTGTGTATAAGTTAATCCGAAATTCCCATGATAAAAAGCATCCATTTCTTTAGCTGAATGAAATTCATAATAAGGAAAATTCGGTGATGGTATTTTGCTAATTGACTACAAAGGACAAAGTCCAAACTCATGTCATACTTCATCTCTATGATATTTATCTTTTAGCAGGAATATTGAAATTTTTAAGAATTCTAATTTATTACTGAGGTACCAAGTCACATCCTGGAGGAAATCTTCATCAATATGTTCTTATTGATAACTATGGTCAATGTTGTCCTTATTCTTTTGCTTTGTTGATTACATCTTTCACTGTTTGATGAGAAAATCTTTTTAGGATAACAAATGCACTGAACCTTCCCAAGTATCTCTTTTTGCTAGTTAGCAAGCAAATCATAGGGGATTACTTTGGTTTTCAGGTTCACTAGGCCCCTGAACTAACCCCAACATATGGGCTCCTAACTACTTTTGGATTTTGGGACAATAAATTATTCTGAGATGAGCAATTATCTTTGTGCACCTAGGTGGGGCCTAGGTGGTTACCTTAAACCCCAAGGCCCAATATGTTCTCTAAAAGGCTGGTGGACTGCTTATTGTAAAGGTTCAGATTTATTGGATAATAGGATTTGGGTTTAAAAAAGGATGGAAATGAGAATATACATCATTATGAGAAAGGCTCTGGTAGATTTTTTTGTTAAACAAGTGACTACATATTGGGCCTCGGGGTAAATGTTTTAGATGTTCACCGTTGCACCTAGACCTTCTTCTTAACTCTTTGGGTCAATCCCAATGACTGCCTAGGTATTCTGACAACTTTGAAGGAGAAATCTCATCAGAATCTGTTGAAGTATTTGACTGAAGTGATAAAGAAACCAATCTAATTCATTTCTTTTACTCATCACATTATATCCTACATGTTTTTGTAATATGTTAAATATGATCAGAAGCCAAACTTGTGATCTGATCATGGTTTTGAGCTACCATTTTCTACAGGTACTTGCAGGATGCTTTCAAGGTTCCTCTTGTAATACAGCTAACTGATGATGAAAAATGCATGTGGAAGAACCTAACAGTGGAAGAAAGTAAAAGGCTTGCTCGTGAGAATGCAAAAGACATAATTGCATGTGGATTTGACATAACAAGAACTTTCATTTTCTCAGATTTCAATTATGTTGGCGGGTAATGTCTCTATTATTCTTACGTTATTTCACTGGAATGACAAATATGTAATATGTAAATATCTGGTCTTGTTCCATAAATCCACTGGTGTGGTGAGGTGAACTATTCAGATTTCTGCCTTTGTGTTGGTTGAGAAAGATGTTCTTTCTTTAAAAAATTGTAGACAATGTTGATAGTTTATTACGTTTTGTCATGGATTCTGATGACCTGAGATTTATTTGCAGTGCCTTCTATGAGAATATGGTTAAGGTTGCAAAATGTGTCACATTTAATAAGGTGACTGCTAATAAATAACTTTTCTAATAATTATGGTTCTTGTTATATAACTTCTTTTATGTTCACAAGGTGTGCCATGTTTTAGTTTATTCAGTTTTCTATTGTGCTTTTCAAATGCAGGTTGTGGGAATATTTGGCTTTACCAATGAGGATCATATTGGCAAAATCAGCTTCCCACCTGTTCAGGTTCTATTTCAACACCTCTTGCTTTTGATTATGAGATAAATTTCCTTCAGGTCAACACAAAACACTTTGCATAATTAGGTGCACTTAATATTACTATTTGATCAAGTCAACATGGCGAATGTCTGGAAGTTGACAAGCTTTGTTCCTTGTAAGAAGTTTTGTTTTGAACCTCGCATGAATTTTCTGACCTTAGTTTGGCATAGTAACATCTATATCATCTGTATGCAAAATGTTCCTTACTGTTATTCTGTTAATGAAATGGACATGCTTATCTGTCGGAATTTTGCTTTGGTGATTGAACAAATAGTTACTAGAGCTTCATATGATTCCTGATCTTCTCAACTTATCTTTTGTAGGCTGTCCCATCATTTCCTAGTTCATTTCCACATCTCTTCTCAGGCAAAGACAACCTTCGTTGTTTGATCCCATGTGCCATCGACCAGGTGCTTCTTGCTGTCTGTAACCAAATTTCCAATTAAGATTTAACTTTTTTATATATCCTACAGATAATTGCTTACAATTTTTTTTCACTAGGTATTCCAAAATGTGTAATTCTTTTTATTTAATTGTTTGATGGTATTTCATGTTTATGTAGTTTATAGCAAAGAACGGTGAGGAGATTGCCTTCTTTATACATCAGAGTCCAGCATGAGAGACACTTCTTGTTTTATACATGTTTTTTAATTTTCATATGAATGGACCATATTGGCCTATTGGTTTTAGTAACATCTCTTTCTTTGAAAGAATGGGAAAACAGGATATATATCTTGCACGAACTTGCATATTGTGTTTGTGCAGATGACCAGAGTTAAAGCATCCGGTACTAGCAATTGTTTATATAATAAAAAAAGTTAAACCTCTAAGAGTTATTTGAGGAATTCACAGCTGCTAAAATATTTCCAAGTAAATTTTAGTTCCTTTTGCAATTTTACTCTGAGAGTGTCTTAGATTTAAGTTTATTTTCAGTGAACTTTTAATATTGACGTTTTACTGTTCTATAGATAAGCTTTTCAGTTTTGCAGTACATATCCACACTGTGATCATATGAGCATGTGTGTGAGGAAGAGCACATTGGTCTAGGTGTTTATGCAGATTGCTATGCGCTGACCCATTAGTACGTTGGCATGTTTTGCCATGTAACATGCCTCTCATGTTAAGTTCATTGGCTGCATGGGCATGCTCAATCGTTGTTTGAAAATGGTGTCCTCTCTATGAATTAATATGGCTAACTCTGATATGTGGGTTGTCAGCCATTTTCTAGTATATGCTGGTCTATCATATCGGACGGGAAAATTATGCCTTCACACATAGTTGAGTAACTGCAATTGTTATTCCAGATTTCGAACTAAAATAATTTTTCTATAATTTAATGGGCATTGTCACTGTTGGACTATAGATAGAGTGTTTCTGTTAGATATTTCTAATTACTTGCAGAAATCTGCAGTAGATGAGTATGCTTAATATTTCATCCTTCTCTTTTTGAGATGTAATCTTTCATCTTAAGACGAACTAAAATCAAAGATGTACTATATTTAAACGATATGACAATATATTTATCTTATCACATAGTTAGCCTTTTACAGGAGCAACTCAAATTGTGCTTTAGTAAGTTTCTTATGATTTTGAGCAGACCATTAATGATGTTCTTCGTCCTATTTTTCTTTGCAAAGGATCCAATGTTTTGTTTTCATTTGTCTTGGCACGCATAGCTGCATATATTGTAGTGTCATCTACTTGTTACAGGTAACTTTCCCTAACACTTGTAATTTGGTCTATTTTCCAGGATCCTTACTTCAGAATGACTCGAGATGTTGCTCCTAGGATAGGCTATCAAAAACCTGCATTAATTGAATCATCATTTTTCCCTGCTCTTCAGGTATGTGGTGTTCATTTACTTGTTAGGAAGGTGTATCAACTACTGATGATACTCTTCTTTGAAGTTATAATTGACAAATAAATGTCTATTGTAGAATGTGCTGATTTGGAGAGTTGTATGTTTGTGCAATTGGCATGAAGCCAAATATCACCATAGAAATGGAGGTTTTGGCCCTGTAGCAGCATTGGATGTGCTGCTGGCAAAACAAAAACAAAATAAAAATGATCAAAGTAAAAAAACCTGAATAAATTAGAAAACACTTGCCTCATCTATGATCACTCATTTTATTAGTCTTACCCATTATCTTCTCAGCTTCTCTAGCATCCCCTTCTATGCACAAGGCAGCACAGGAGATGAAAACCATACGTGAAATGAGCCACCTAATCTTGGACAAAGCCAGCCAGGTTCAACTTTAAAACACCAGTTCGGTATACCAACTGCCCATTTTGGTACTGAAAACCCTCTGTTCTAGTTCCCACCAACCCAGCATCTCAGTATCACCAAATAATGGTGATACTGTATACTAATGCTTGCATGAAGCATTTGTGCAAAATTTGGTACTATTACATTTAACTTTGTTCATTGTTATGTAACTAAGATGGGTGTAACCGATACTGCAGTTCCATGTTTATGATGATCATACTAAATAAGCTTGATTTACCATCAGTATCATTTCCATTAATATTTCTCATTTATGAACTATACTGAATTCAGCTTTGAGTTCTTTTGCTTTGTAATTTTCTTATGGTATCACTATGTATTTTTTTTATTTACTGATTTTACATGCTTAAAGGGGGAGACGGGAAAGATGTCTGCCAGTGATCCAAATTCTGCTATATACGTGACAGATTCATCCAAGGACATAAAGAATAAGGTTAGCATAATTATTAACCATTTTTTTATGTTATTGAATGCTTGGTCTTAACCTCATTGATTTTTCGCTTGAAAATGTACATTTCCCCAGGTCATCTGGTTGTTGCTTCCTTCAAAATTTGACTTTTATAATTTAAGATATCGTCAGTGTTGTTCCCACCACCACATTTCTATTTAGTATGAATTTCAGAATAAATTGTGTGCCACTTTTTGATAGCTTGCTAGTTAACTCTCCAGCTGCTAAAAGGGTTTTATCAACACAATAATATTTCTTGAGTTTCTTGCGTGAAACATTCTTGTTGTCATCATGCATTAAAACCAAGGAAGCTATGTCTCTGTGACTTTGAAAATGCAAGATAAGACTCCAATGTTCCTATATTCTCAAGTTATAGCACATCAGCTTCATTCTTCCATTTTGATGCTTTGACCTACTTCTTTCTGCGCCCATTTGGCATTACATATCCAAATTTCACTTTTACACTAAATTCCTGACAGTTTCTATTTCTTTTATAAAGTATGATATATCATGAATTCAAATATTGGTCATAACTGATTCCTTTGCCTGCTGTGATGCATGGATGTGATTTGATCTGCATTTTTGTGATGCTTGAGCTAAAACTTGGAACATAAACAAAATTTTCTTATAGTAATTTGCTATATTTATAGGTGAACAGGTATGCATTCTCCGGCGGTCAAGATTCAATTGAGAATCACAGGAAATATGGAGCAAATTTAGAGGTAATCCTTCTGAAATGTTGGTTCGCCAAGAAAGCAGAAGTCTTTGGATTTTCTTTTAAGTGATAGAACTCCTTGTTGGTAGCAAGTATCTTTTAATTGATAAACTTTCTTGTCAGTAGCAACAGCTGCAGTTATACTGTTGGATGAGCAGATTGCAATGCTACTTCCTGAATGGATATTCCATAGTTTTTATACTACAAAACAATATAACATTTAAAAACTGCACATCTACCTGTAATCAGTCTAATCAATTGAATCTCTGTCGAAGTCAATTAGGATGTTAGTTGTTCTGAGGTGGTTATCCCTTGGTGGTCTATGATTGGTATTGCTATCAAGCATGTTAGTAGTTGTGGGCCGACAGCATAGAATTCTCTTTTATGGATATTCTTCCTTGTTAGTCACAATTAGCATCTGTCTAAGCTAGGATGGAGCGGGTAGGTACATATAAGTAATGCCTCGTGAAAATACAAAGGGAGAAAGATATGAGAGTACCAAATGCAGCTGGAAATGATGGGAAAGGACAAATTCTAGAAAGGTAGAAAAATACTTGTTAACAGAGACTATGGATACAGAGACCAGAAAACTAGTCCATATTTATTTTGAAGAAATATGTTTGTTTCTAGTATATCCTTTAACAAAAATATTTTGTTTAATTTGCTGCAATTTTAGCTTGTATATGAATGCACTTCAGCTATCTCTATGTTCTTATCAAATGATGATTCTATTGTCTTGGATCGTTGCCAGGTTGATATTCCTGTCAAGTACCTTGGGTTCTTTCTTGAAGACGATGCTGAACTTGATCATATAAGGAAGGTATCTGCATAATTTCTTATTTCCATCTTAAACACTGTTTTTTAGTGAAGTATAGATTGCATCTACAGTATAGCTAGGAGTCATATTAACCAACCATAAGATTGTGCTATGCCCATGGTGACATATCGATGTGGGTATCTCCTAAACAAGCATAGAAGTAGGTCCATGCCATACACCTTGCCATGGCAGGTGTTAATAGTATGTTGTGCTTACAATTGATCTGGCATTTTATCTCCCGGTTAGGAAAATGTCACTGTAAGTTCCTCGCCTGTGGTATGCTATTCAATTGATTTATAAAATTCAACTGCTAATCTCATAAATTTCCAGGAATATGGTGCTGGGCGAATGTTGACTGGGGAGGTCAAAAAGCGCCTTATAGAGGTCCTATCTGAATTGGTTGAGCGACATCAGAGAGCACGGGCGTCAGTCACTGATGAGGTAAGGAAGCATTCTGCTCAGTTTCCTGCTCACATAGGTCAGGTAGGAACTTGCATTATTTTGTGGAGAAGCGACTTTATTGCAGAGTTGATAATACAACAACCAAGCATATATGCAGTGATATTGTTCAAGAAGCAAATAACAAGACAAAATGAAAGAGAGGAATCCATTTGCCAATTCTTTATGTCCGTTTTTAGTTGCTCTTGATGTATGCTTGATCACATAGCCACGGTAACAAATCTGCCTTATCTTGCTAGTCCAGATGGTGGATGCTTTCATGGCCGTGAGACCGCTTCCCCACATGTTCAGCTAAAACGCTTAGCGGTGGGATTCCAGCACAGCACCTTCAATGTGTAAACAAAGGCGAGCAAAAGATATGATTTGTGTGGGTATTTCACTTTTTCTCTCGTTTATTTAAGGATTAGCAACATTGCAATCAGTTATTTCCCCCGAGATTTCTTGCAATATAGAGAGTAGATGGCGGTGCTATCGATATATGGTCATTGCTCAATTGTTCATTAAACATCTAAGAGTTGAAATGCAAGTTGATGTCCAATATGCATTATTGCCTTTATTTCATCTAGTGGTTTTTATCTCTTAGAATTATCATGTCAGGTCTATACATCTAGAGGCATGTCATAAATCTTTGATGGGTTTACTGGAAATCCTAGTGTCAGATAAGTGCTATTCCGCTTGCTAATTTGCCAATTGACCTTACATAGATCATTTCCCCGTATACAAACAATACCCTTCCATTGTCAATTCAGAACCATGCTTGAAAAGAGAGATGATCACACCGTCTTCGTAGAGAAGAATAGAGAGGAGTTTGCAACATTTCATATTGAGAACAAGCTGATTTGCATGTAGGAAGCCTCCAAGCACTCGGATTAAACCATAAACACCATGTAGTTAAAGGATCGCAAATAATAGAAACAGGTGGACGGGTTCTATCTTAGCACAATCTCCGATTGTAAATGCGGAACAAAAAAGTAAATTAGAATTCACTCAAAACCATAACATGTAACCCATTAAATCAAAAGCTACACAGTTCCTTCCATGAGAAGAGGAAATAAACCCATCGACAGAGCATCAAAGCTGGAGTCAGAGTAGCAAACTTGCATAGATTAACTTTCACCCTCAGACTTCTTGGACGCTCAAACCTGCATAATTAAAACAAATGAGATCACCAACACTGAGGATGTCAAATCCAAATTATCTCAAACAAATCGATCATGCTGCAACTCATTGCGAAAGTACAAATGATTGAAACATCCATCAAAAGAAATCAAGTTGTCTATAACTATACCATGTTCATACTTGGTAAAAGCCAAGCTATGGTGGATACAGCTCATAAAAGAATCCCTTAAGACCCAACACAAAATATCAGAACCGGTCTATCCTGTGACATTCTAGTGATTACTCCAATATCTTGCAGTCGATTGGTGTCAAATCCATGTAAGACCATCTTGTACGCAATTTAATGTAATGGAAGTAATTCCAAGTTTTATAGAAATCACTACTTGCAACCAGAAATTCGTTCTTGATATCGATGTTGTTGTGCTTTTAAAATGGGCATGAAATTGAAGCCAACATTGTGCTAATCCAGATTTCCTAAGTCAGTGATAACTCATTGTATTTACAATCCATTTTGTAACTAGATGACATCCTGTATGCATTGATTCCTTGAAGAATTCTTGTATGCTTAAACCCCAAGCAGCACAAACAGTATTATAACCTCGAGCAGTAATAGCAGAGTTGTGAATCATGAGGCGATTCATGAGCTCCACTGTTACTGCAACCGAAGACATTAGCAATTATGATCTTTCAAGGCAAGACCACCTAACTAAAAGAACTCGTTTTGGTGCATGAATCAAGCTTTTCTAGCTTTCGAAGACCATGTCAGTCCCATAACAATCAATATTCGAGAACTAACCTGGTGGAAGAGACTGCTTCAACTTGTCTGCCTTCTCGGAGTCGAAGACGCAAAGCGTATAGAGGTACTTGGCGCAGCGGACTTTGAACTTGACCACATCCCTGCTCCTCTTGATCTTCACCGACCGTGCATCCTTCCTTCTCGCAGTGAGAAGGAAATCCTTAATCTCATGAATCTGCTTCGGCTGCGAGACACAGAGAATAGACAAACGGTAGAAAAAACTAGACGAATATCGAGCAACATATGCAATGAATCCATCCAAGCAGATCCATTTCAGAATCAACAAGATAAAGCTTTCTTGCTCAGATGTAGCATGACTCCAGAAACATTAGCACAGCAATAAGCTCAACCGAAGAAATCTAAATCTTTCGAGTTGGCCAAGACTTGCATACAAATCGACGCTACAAACACACGAGAACCCAAAGGAAGGTGACCCGAATGCACCAAAATCCGAACGAACAAGAACAGAAGTTGCAGATCGAGACTCTAATACGTATCAAGAATGCAGTAAAAGCCGATCAAACGGAATCAAAATCAAAACCAAAACCAGCACGATTAATGCATGAACAAGAAGGATCGAAGAGAGAGATACCATTTCCGATGCTCTTTGGTGGCGGAGGCGGCCCGATTCCGATCCGTCGCCTCTCCGGGGAACCCTAATTCGAAGTGGCGGCGTGTGACTCGGGAGGGAGCCTTTATAGCACGGCGAGAAAGCGGAATTTCCCATACGACCCCTAATAAAGCATAATTATTTCCGTTCCTACGTGTCTCTAATGCCCAATCTTTTTGGGTTCGAGTTAGGTCCGGTCCAGTTTTTGTACTCAAAGTATCGGTAAGAAAGAAAGCCCATCGGTATCATTCTTTTATATATATATGTATATATATATATATATGTATATATATATATATGTATATATATATATATGTATATATATA